TTGAAAAATTATCAAAAAAATTTTATTTAATTTTTTAAAGTTAAATAAAATGTTAAAAAAATTTTTTTTTTTACTTTTTAAAATTTATTTTATAAATTGGCGTAGTTAAAATTGCTTTTTAGATCAAACTCAAAAACAAAGAATGCCCTTGCTGTAATACAATGTAGATATTATTTAAATTAGACGTTGCCTGGTAGAAGAAAGTTACTTAGTCGAACATACATACATACATACTGATTCATCAGACGATTCAACAAACATTTCACACCGCTTTCATTCAATATAGAACATATAATTCAAATCAATCATTACTAAAAGTGTATTGTTGTATGAAACAAATTCGAAACAAATAATACAATATTAAAATTTTTTGTGTATATCATTGTATCACATTCCGTATTCCACTTTATATCGATCATTCACATACAGTACGTCTCATCATATGATTCCATTCCACCCGATTCTACTTGATTGTGCTGTGTTACCATCTCCTACCTTTTATCATTTCACTTTTCATACCATTATAATCATCTTTCTTCTTTTTCAGCATTTTTGTAAAATCAGTTTGCAAACTCTTTTTTTCCATTTTACTCTTTTCAATTATTTTACTTTTTTTCATTTCTTCAATTTGGCAATTATACATATGTGGCGTTCTAGATCAGATCTCTTCCGTTGTCGCACGATTTCAGACCTATTCTCTTTCTCTCCTTATTGCGTCATTCCTCAACAATATTTATATTATTTCATTCCTTTTTCATACTAGCCTCTTCATTCCATTACTATCCGTTTCACTTCCACTGAACTTTTAATTCGAATCGCGGTTTCCTTATTTTTTTCTCCAGCAATTCAATAGAATGCTCAGTGGCAGTTTCGCTTAACCACCATCTCAGTAATAGAATGATAGAAAAAGGTATAACTGTGTGATATCACACTTGGTGGCCAATCGACCGGCCTCGAAGTATTCGCTCAATAAATCCATTGATTTATCCGATAGAGGGAAAGTAACGCCAAAAATAGGCCTCATCACTGAACAAATTTTTGGCTCGAAAATGTCGGATCTTCTTGGAACTTTTCCAGAGCCCACAGAGCAAAGCGATGCCGCTCAGGAAGAAATAGTGGCTTCGGTTCTTGCACAAGCTCTATTTTATACGCTTTCAGTTTAAGATCTCGTCTTAAAATTCGCCAAGTTGTTTCATACGTCAGTCCGAATTACTGCGAACGGCGCCGAATGAACTCTTCACGGTCTTCGTGTACATTCTCAGCTTCGGCTATTTACGAAAGCACATCTACTGAGATCACCCGTTAATACCTAAGCCTTCGATATATCGATCTGAAAATTTGGATATGTCCTTAAACTGCCAAGACACTGCTCTTCTGGCGGAACAGATAATATAGGACAACTATATATATAAAAACTAACAGAAAAAACATAAGTATTTCTGTGGAAAACGTTTTTGTTTGAAAAGGGATTTTTGCGAAATACGGCAAAATCTCCGAAGAAATTGTTCACAGATCTGATTACTATTGCATATAGCTGCTATATAGTCTTTCAATTTTAGTTTATAATTTCCATCCATACTGTTGCAAGGGATTCTTATTCATTTGATATATGTGACCTGGTCTACGAAAAGGGAGCTAACGTGCGAAAACTAGTTTTCTGGGAAACAGCTGTTAAAAATCTCATCTTCCATCCGAATCAACTAAAAAGTGAAAATTGATTTTTTGGATTTTTTGACACCTAAGCCCCCTGTCCGTAGACCAAGTCACATATAGCTCATCCATTCCATATTTCGATAATATCTTTACAATTTCATTTTATATCCATTTTGTCATTTCTTTTTCTTTTTAATTTGTTTCCAAGAAATACTCAAAATGTTTCCCTTTCTCAAGTAATCTGACAACTTTGTTATATTACTCACTCTCAAACATCTTTCTTCATTTCCATTTCAAAGGTAGCAAGATTTGTCAACGAATAAAAAGTTTCTATAATTCGTTATTAAACATGTTAAATCTCGAATGAAATTCTCATGATGATCCAATGAAAGCATTACCGCTTATCAAGGCGTAATGGCATCGAGAGTGAGATTCAATCCTATCGTTATATCGATGATCTTCATGTACATATAATGTTATCCGATGAATCAATGCTACAATTTATTTAACCTTTCTCGTTATCTGGAAGAGTTTAAAGCCTGTTTGAAGCCGATAATATTTGGTAACTTTCTTAGCATACATATGGAACATATACATATATATGTCAGAACTTTTCTGAAATATTTTCTTTGGAGATAGGGCAGAATGTTCTTTTTTTTTTTACCGAAAAATTTCAGCTAAAACTGGAAGACTTTTTTCAAGATTCTAGGCGTCATAAAATCGAAACAAATTTTTTTGCATATCTTAATGTCTTTTTACTACTTCTTCTAAATAATAACTAAGTACAGAAAATATTCTTATTACTTTTGACAATGTGCCCCAAAACTATTAAAAAGTCCAAAAATATTCCCTTAAAAATCCGCCATGCATGCCTACTTTATTTTGTACCTATGTGTGTGTGTGTGCATATGTATATAGTATGCATATTTACAACAAAAACGTTACTCTATTTACTTCTTTTTTTTTTTCATTTTAATAATAAAAGCACAAGTTTTTTATTAACAACACGAACTATTTTATGAAAGAATGGAATTGAGACTCAATTAAAAATTCATTTTGTATCTAACATTTGCATTACTGCTACAAAAAAAAACCACATTTCCACAATAAAATAAAACACACGCTCATGTGTAACTACTACAAATCGCCCAAACCGACAAAACGACCAATCGCCCACGTGAACGGTACCGGTACAGTACGACGAAGAAGCGGGTACACCCGATTCGACGAAGGACAGCAGCGAAGTCCTTCGTGGCGTTACCTACCGACCGCCATCGGCCTCTGGTCATCATCATCAAAGCCATCCATCACAACACAAGTCGACCACCTGTCTGGGTGGCTGTTCGGAACGGAAGGGTTCATCAGTAAGTACAAAACGTTTAATTAAAACACGATTAGCAAAAAAAAAAAATACCGATCACAGAATTGTGTAAATTGCACATTATGCCAAGCGCCCTGAACGCCTAGATGTATGCCTGCAGGTACTTAATCGTTTTTGTGTGTGTTTAAGTGTTAGAGTGTAAGCATTATACTGTTTTACTAAGAAAACGAAAGGTGTAGTTTTATATTCACTTAATTTACTTATGATTTTTTTGTAGTATAAACTGGTGTTCGAAGTATTTAATACAGTTCAGAAGTTAAAGAAATAACAAAATAAATATCTTCAGCAGTTGAAATTTTGAAAATTTGAAAACATTTTCACCCTTATATTTGTACAATACTGAGTACGAGTCACGGTAACTTCACGGAGTTATTTCTATTTACAAACATTTTGATTAAATTTTATTTTCGGAAAAGCATCAAATTCCTAGCCTCAATATGGCGGCTTCGTAAGTTTAGCTTTAAACTGAGATCGATAGTACATTCTCCAAAACAAAACAAAGCTGCAATGATCCGATTCCACCCATCTAAGTGAATGCCATCTGGTATCGCAACGGCTCAAATCTCCCTAATGGAATGTCCCGTTTTTGCCAGATCAAGACCTTGAAAATACATCGAATCTCACACTAAGCAGAGACGTGAAAGATTCTGGCCTTGTTTTGTCGATAGCTGACATCCAACTAAAGGAGTTTATTCCTTTGTCTACACAAACCAAGGTAAATAGTAGTCTAAGTATAACCCCGTCATGCCGAAGGATCTGTCGCGAAAGTCTTTTGGCCCAAGATCGATCGCAAGAGATCTAATGATCTCATTGCCCTCAGTGAGACTAACCTCTTCGTACTTTCGTGGCTTTTAACAGGACATTGCTCAATTAGCTTCCCGCAGCAACGGTGGGAATCTTACCAGTAGCCATCTGCAAAAGATGTATGGGAGAAGATGCAGTGGACACAACTCAACACTTCCTTTTCGACTGTCCCGCGTTTCAGAGGTCAAGACTTAAACACTTGGGAGCGCATTCCTTCGGACATCCCACCGAGCTGATGGGAATCGAAATTAAATGCCTGTGCAAATATTTGCATTGACTTCTAAGCGGTTTACTAATTTATAAGTTCGAAAACATGCGTTTTTCCTTTCTATTGCCTTACAAAGGACTACATATAGTAGTCTATGTGCCATCTGTTATCAGCCATCTAACCTAACAATAAGTTTGATCAATTTCTTAGTAGAAACAGAGAAGTCATTAGAGCTTTCAAAGATCGTAAAGAACTTCTTCGGATGCTCTCAATCAGATGTCATCCCCTTGAGAATAGCTAGGGTAATAGCTCAACATCCACAACAATTTTTGCTTTGGCGATATTTTTGACAAAAATGTTCACTTCACTAACTTCAATGAGATATAATATTCTGTTAAAAGTTTAACTGAGATTCACAAAATCTAAAATCGATACTACTGCACATCCGAAGAGAAGATTGAATCACGTCGATATAAATCTTTCTACATGTCTGCTGTCATCTACAGCTACATGCACATATCCTATCCTGAGTTAAGTACTAACTTTGACTTTATGCCATGGATGACTCGCGTAAAGCAAATTGGTTTTGTGATTTCAAGGTCTTCAGCGTCTGTTATATATTTCTTTAGTAAAGGGTATTTTTTTAAATGCGATTTGCGTGAAGCAATAAAACGCACATAATTTAAGATTACGGCTAAGAATTTAGATTTATTATAAACCAAATGGTTACCGTTACATTTTGGGCAAGGGACAGTCGCGGCTAATCGAATATATTCCTGTCAAAATATCAAATTTTCGGACACATTTTGCAGCCATTGCAGTAGTGTTTCAGCAATAACAAGTTGAATATTCTCTTTCAAGGCGTCAATAAATTGATTCTCACTGGATGTATGGATTGCCGCGCCATCTTTTTGGAAGCTTAGATCATCCTTATTAATACCCTCTAACTTAGATACGAAAAATGTATTAATGATGGCTCTATAGCGTTCCCCATTGACTGTTATATTATGGCCGGCTTCACTGTTAATGAAATATGAACCAATGATTCCCGCTCCCCACAGATCACACCAAACATAGACTTTTTGAGAACGTAACTCCTTCACAACAATATATTATCAGCACTCCAAATGCAGCAGTTTTATTTATTGGCATACCCATTCAACCAAGTGAGCTTCATCGCTTAACAACATTTTCTTGTGATAATCGATATCGGTAGCCATCTCATTTTAGGTCCATTCACCGAACCTGCGAAGGACTTGGAAGGTCATTCGGCTTCAATTATTGCACGAGTTGAATTTTGTAAGCTTGCAAACTAAAATCCTTCCGCAACATCTTTCACAAAGGTGCCGATGATTCCACCGGCCAACAAACCCCACCAAACCGTTTTTTTCTGGCTGAAATGGCAGGTCTTGAATCTCTTGAAGTTGTTCTTCGTCCCAAATGCGGCAATTTTGGGCTTCATCGCTGAACAAAATTCCTCTCGAAAATGACGGAACTTCTTGGAAGTTTTCAAGAGCCCAATAACGAAGCGATGAGAAGATCTAGCGGCTTCAGTTCTTTCACAAACTGTATTTTATACGCTTTTAATTCAAGACCTCCACGTAAAATGTGCCAGTCGTTCCATATGTCAGTCCGAGTTGCTGCGAATGGCGGCGAATCGACTATCCACGCTCTTCATGTACGCTCTCAGCTACGACTACTATATTTTCTTCATTGTATGCTGCACGTGGTCTATTCGGTTGAATTCTATCCAATGTAGTATGCTGGGTCTCAAGGTGGGCGATATTGTCGCGAATAGTACGCTGGACAGAACTCACGCTTGATCTGTCATAAAAAGGCTGTTGAAATACATACCTCCATTTGGATCAACCGTTAATATAACTGAAACGACATGGTACTTTTTAAGTCCAATGTAGAACTTCTCACGTTTTAAAGGTTGACATTAAATAACGCAACTGTCTAAAAACTGGAAAATTGTAAGAAATCAAATACATACAGCTAAGCTCGCTTGTTTTTACATTAAGTGTAAAAAAATATTATTTAATATTAAAAGGTAGGTATTGACTATTTTTTTGACGTCAATAAATTGATATCTAAATATGAAACATTATAAAACATATTCTGTATAAGTTCCAACGCTTTGAATTGCAACTAGACTAGATAAATGATTATATCTATTAGACTAAAGCACTGTGTATATAAACAAAACTATCCGAAGATATGCATAATATACATAATATTAAATATAGAATTATTGCTCGATTTATGCAACTAGAATTTAAAAGTTACTTAGCAAATGCTCGAAATGCAAATCTCTGCAATGCCACATACTGTCAAACCGAAATGCTAGATTTATTCGTTCGAGTGCTTTTCCGTAGAAAATCTCTGCATTTTTACCAAATAGACACTCACTTTATAATAACAAAGAACTGCATAAATATTTATTAAGCTCTGTAGTGCTTCTTGTCTCGTATTTGCATCCGTATGTCTATATATAACGTCCGTAGCTGAAGCACACATCTACTAATACTCGTACAAACGTAGTGTTGCCATTTGATGAAACCGAACTAAGTCGACTAATCGTAAAGCAGTCTTCTATGTTTTTTCAGTACTCGATCAATTTGGCCGACGAGGCGCGCAACAATCATGCGCAACAAATCGAACGCGCCGAGATCGCGAATCTGGTGCGCAGTCGCATGGAATCGTTGAATCTGCCGACAATCGACTATGACGACGTGAGCGAGAAGCGCAATCATCTATCGTATGTGATAATCAATCCGAGCTGTGATCTGAAGTTGGAGGAGGGCGATGTCATGTAAGTTACACCAAACGACGATATCTATATGTCTTACATGTAGTATACTTGTCTTAAAAAATTTAGAAAATTTTTCCTTTTACAGCTACTTGGTGCGGCCGTCGCCGTTTTCAGCGCAGAAAACCTTCGAACGTCACAATTCACGCCGCAAATCAAACATATCCTTCTGTTCGAACATCAATTTGGGTGCCGCATGCGGTCCAACCGTTAGTGCCGCTGCTGGTGCGGGTTCGCGTCGTGGCTCCGGCATAGCTGGACTGAATCCGATGCAAATGCAAAGCGTACAGACGTTGGCCGGGTATGGTTCGCCACGCTGCTCGCCGCCCATACAACAAATTAAATCCAATTCTCTTTCTCTACCCGACAGTCCGACGGTTGTTGGCACACAGCGCGGCCGGAGCAATTCATTGCGGGTTGGCTACTATTTATCCATTTATCCATTGGCGTTAAACACACTATTTTGCTTTACGTTTTCTACTTCCGTTATTTGTTATGTTCCCTCTCTGTCGTTGATCTTACGTATCTCTCGTGTCACGCATCATGTAAATTGTGTTGTGTTTTCATTATGTTCGTTTAACACTTAACCTTTCGTACTTTTCACTTTTAACTGTTCATTATCCTCTCCCCTCACTATGTACAGCAAGAACAATTTAATGTTTTCACAGTTTTTTTTTTTTTTTGTTATTTATTAATATGTAATGTTAGGCTTGGCATTTGTTGTAAAATGGGTTGTTTCAACACAAGAAAAAAAAAACATTATCAGTTTTAGAACTGTCCTTAATCAATTATTTTTCGGAAGCTGTAGATAGAGCCGATATTCTTCTTTGAAACCTCTTAAATTATAAATTACATAACTGCCTGACGCTTTCATTAGAAGATTCTCCAGGGTTGTGAATATGGATGGCTGGATCATTCATTTACCTTTTATGATATTCTATAAAAATAATAACAAAGAGCATATATAGTATACAAAAAAAATGAGATAGACGGAATCTGCCATTATTTAACCAAACTTCCACGGCAAAGTTAATTATTCGTTTGACTATTAGACCAAACCATTTTTTTAGTGAGATTGAAAGTAAGTAAGGTTGGCCCAAAAATGTTCGATTAAGTATTGACAATCGATTGTAGCAAAAAGAAGAGCTTGCGATGCTTTCCGACAGAGGCAATGAAGAATTTTACGAAAACGTGCCGCGGAAGGTTTCAAGACCGAAACATACTGTTCTAGAAGTAGTGATCCACTGGCTGAAATTGATGGAGATGGCGATCGCGATTATCCAATCGATGGCGATGGCATAGCTGTTTCATTCACCAACAATTATGAGTTTCAAAAAGCTAAGTCCTGTTATATGGTGCGGATTTATGAAAATTTGCATCATCTGACGAGTATGGCATTGGCAATGATGAATACCACAGTCGATGGAACGCAATAGAGAAAGCTATCTTCGAAAAACGGAGAAATTACGCTTTACATAATATTGAGTATCTTGAATGAAAAAATGAGTTTGGTACAACAGAGTGTATGCCACAGTGTAATTTAGGAGCTCAGATTTTCTGTCCGGGGGACCCATTATAAATATAATAATATACGTGGCTTTCAAACGTATCGACAAGTGTTCGCAACTTTGTATAGGATCAGCACATTTTAGAGTATATTGCATAATACAGTCCAGCGGTTGATTCAGAAAACATTAGCAAGTTTCCATAACCTTTTTTGAATTAGAGAATTTTCTTATAACCATCCATCTGCTTCCGAAATAGGGAATATGTATGATAAATTCTATGCTGTCCGACAATACTGAGGCCTGGTAGTAGTCAAAAGTAGGAGTAGTGAATTAGTAGTAAAAGTATAGTATGGTTACTTTTGTGAAAATTGTTTTAGTTAGTCAATAAATTAACAAAAAATAGTATAAATAACTCAAAACCCTGTTATCCACATCCCACTAACACTATTAACCACCACAACCCTCATGCCTATATTCACCAACCTCACTTTATAACCGCAAGCAACTACTCAGTGTGGCACCAACCACCATCACCACCACAACTGCAACCATCGACACCGCATCACCGTTCACCGATCACCGATTGTGAGCTACATTTGTATCAATCACTAACTAACACCAGCACAACCACCGTCACCGATGTGTGATTACACGGATGTGTAAGACAATAACTCACCGGTTGTTGATGGCTTGATGTCAGTGGGAAATGCGGCAGCCAGTGGAGTCGCCCAACCATCACATTTGTATCTGCATCAAAATATTGCTATAAATGCAAAAAAAAAAAAAAAAAAAAAAATTTGCAACTTTTAAATTAATTCGTTTTCATTTTTAAGCGTAATTCACCTAAAATATTTATTAATTTTTATGCAATACGAAGAATGTTGAACGATTTGTGTGATTATTAATGATTTTATTGTGATTTTGTATTTTGCGCTCACTCAAAAACGACACCCCCTCTTTTTGTTGTTGTTTTGAAATATTGGTGAATTTCCCGTTTTTGAATCGGTTTCGTTCCGCTTACTTTCACTTGCAGATCGACAATGATATTTTGCTAAGGCGTTCCTCATCATTGCGGCAAGGCTTACCCAGTGTTGGTGTTAGTCATGGCCGACGAAAATCCTCGTTAGAGGAGATCGGCATTAGCCATTTTACGACGCTAATGCAAGCAACGAATCACACGAATCCCATTAAAATTGCACTCAACGGCAGTATAGGACTGGAGGTCAGTGTGCTTATGTATAAACATTAGGGTGGCACTTAAATGTTGGACTAAACTTTTTCCAATACATTTTTTTCTCCAAACTTCACAACACTAAATGCATAAAAATATCCAAGCGTGTTGAGCTTAAAAAACTGCGTCTTTTCGTTTTTTAAGCACCACCCTAATACAAGCAAAAAATAAACACACACTATCATATTTATTATACCGCCTTAATAGTCCACACCTAACTCTTTGTACTTTCAATATCAGGTCACACCACCCGAAGAACCAACACCCATACTAGGCGTACCCTGCATAGTGGCCGGTGGTCCCGGCGGTGGTATTAATCCCTCGGCGCTAGGTGGTGCCACCCTATGCGGCGGCTCATCACTGGCCATCAATACTGCCGATTTGGGCGCATCACCCACATCGAGTAACAATAATTCACCGCTACAAGTGCCACAACAGGATTCACAACAATCCGGACCAATGCAATCACCGCAACATTTACAAGGGACAATTGTATGATACAACCTTATGTGGGGTCGCAGACTCCGCTCGTCGATATCGAAGAAAAATAAATGGATATAATATAAGTAGAAATCGGAGCGGTGCTAAGGTGTCTAAACGTCCACACGACGTGACGATGACGATGACGATGAAGATGACGTCACAATGCCACGAATGTCGGCTATCGTTACTGCAGCGGAGTCCAAAGCAAAAGACGAGTAGTTAGGCGAACACAGCTCACACACCGAAGCACGTACGTAGTTAACTGCAGCAGAGATAGCAACAAAGTAGTTTCGCACATCATGTACATATGTATATGTAGATTATTAACTGTAGCGTAAGTGGGAAAACACTTAATATTGTCGAATCGGACTTCAGGAGTATGATCGTTTGCAACTGCGTTAAACGTGCAACGATTTCAAAATATATATGTATGTATATCTAATCACTTAGCTTAAGTTTCGTTTGTAGTGATCAGCTGATCAGCTGTAAATAATGCGACTCGTTCAATTGTAGTACTAGGGTAAGCCTAAAGTTATGTCATTATAAATATGTATTACATGCATTGTGAATGTACAATATTGAATATACTTACATTCTTGAGTTTGTAGATAATTTTTAATTACCAACAATACCTATTTATTTATTAGCTAAAAATATATTTCTTTAGAAAATTTTGATTAAAAAATATTTAATATTTCGATTTATTTTGAAAAATATATATGTGACCTGGTCTACGAAAAGGGAGCTAACGTGCGAAAACTAGTTTTCTGGGAAGCTGTTAAAAATCTCACCTTCCATCCGAATCAACTAAAAAGTGAAAATTGATTTTTTGGATTTTTTGAAAGGGGGCTATTTCCTTAAACCAGCTCACATATATATATATTTATTTCTTTTTATGGTTGATTATTCAGTTATCTATCTAAATTCGAGGTGTCCTAACCAAAGGTCGGTACCCAACTACCTTTACCAGTAGCGGATCCAAACTTTCCTTCGGGCGGAGATGCTACAACAAAGCTTGTTGTGATAATAACTTTTTGTTGGACCGTTTTATCATTCTCTGATTTGTGGACACGTAAAAATACCGTGGATCCACTGCTGGTACTTATTTTTCAATAAGAGCACTACACAAGTTTTTTAAATGGGACAAAAACGTTTTGGGATACCTATAAAATTTTTAATTCCTGTAAAAGTATATTTGTGTTTGATGCCATTATGTATGGAACTCGATTTCTTTTACATGGTCACCACGAAACCTCTTGCAGAAGTGTACACGCTGAATCCAAATTTCGACGGTTTTCAAGCATAAATCGGCTGTTCAATATTCGTGCGAAGTTCATCAATCGTCGCTAGCTTGTTCGCATAGACTATAGACTTGAAGTAGCTCCACAGGAAATAGTCTAACGGCGTAAAATCGCATGACCTTAGCGGCCAATTGACTGAGCCATTTTGTGAGATAACACCGTCTAGTGAAGGCTTTGGTTTTCAATAAATCGAAACATTCACTGTGTCGCCTGTACCGCCGTCCTGTTGGAACCTCATATTGGCAAAGTCCTTATTATCCAATTCGGACCAAAAATATTTGGTTATTATTGAGCGGTAGCGATTCTCATTTACAGAAACGTATCGATCTTGGTCATTACGGAAGAAGTACGGCCCAATTACGCCACCGGCCCATAACCCGCACTAAACCGTAACTTTTTCGGGATGCAAGGGTGACTCACGGAGTTCCTGACCAATTATGCATACGAACAAACGGTTTCAGTACTTGCATCAATTCAATCTTGTAAATATGTAGGCCAAGATCTGTTCGCAAAACTCTCCACAAGGACGTCTTCACTGATGCTTGAGAATGACGTGTGCGAGACTGATTTGGGTGTTCTTCCAATTGATACGCTAGCGGCGGCAATATTCTCGACACTACGGTCAGTCTTTTATTTTTACCGAATTCTCATTCTTTGATTTTGGGGCATGTTTGACACCCAAACCCCCCATGGATCCGCCCCTGGTGCACACCTAACCCTCACGGGCATAGAGTAGACATTAGGAAATTGATATTAGTTCTCCGAAAAATTAATTTATAATACAACTCCTATACAAAGAAACCACTTTTCAAGTTCACAACTTGCACTTCTTTCTTCAAACGGCCTGCTAGATATATAGTTAGCCTGGAACATGACAAGGCAATAACTGGGTGCACACATACGAAAATTTAGTCTGAATTCGCATGGACCCAAGGTTAAAAATTCAAAATCAAACAGCTATGTAAATGTGCTCCAGCCCTAGGCTAAGAATCTTATGTCAAGTTTTTGGAACTGTAGTTGCAGTTGATGTTTCTTACAATAGTAACAACTCCATCCAGTGGTGGATGCTCTAGGTCTTAAAAATCACTCCTTTTAGTTATCAGAACCCTTCTACACCAAAATTGGAGAAATTTCATTCCTATACAGAAGAATTTATCGAGTAACATCAAAATTAAAAAGCACAACCGCTGTACACTCTTATAGAAGATGACACCTTCTCTATTCAGATCTGCAGTTCGAATTATTTTCTCAAAGAGTAGATTGAAGAAGTCGCACAACAGGGAATCGCCTTCCCGATCATGACGGAGCTTTTGTTATTGCTCAACGGTTAACAAATTTGAGTAGCACATAAATTCGAATTCGCTCCTGAGGCTGTAGTAGAATCATCTTAGCACATTTTCTACTAGAAAACTACCTAATTCTCTCAAAAATATTTTTAAAATCTCTAACAGATACCAAAAGCAATTAAAATACTGCATATTATCTCCACAACCCTTGGACTATTTTCGTACAATCTTTATTTGTAATAAAAAATATGTGTTTATTTTCGAATGTTTATTTATTTATATAAAAATTTAGAAAATCACAAAGTTCTTAAAAAAAAAAATCATCATAAAAACCATGTTATCAAATTGTACAAACAAATGGTGAAATAATAATAGCCAAAGCACAAAACAAACTGTAATGTAAGTTACTAGAATGTAAGTAGAAAACATCCGATATAACTGTATTTATAATAATATCGGTAGGAATTAAGATATTTACTTTTCGGTTTCTTTATTTCCTGGCACTATAAATTCGATTTTAATATTTCTTTTCTATTAACGAAAATACATTAAAAAATATTTAGACGGCGCTCAAAGACATAAGCCTATCGTCGATTTCGAACCCTTTGGGAGCATGCTGTCTAATCGCAAATGTAATGTGTTCTACTGACTTGTTAACATGAATTATTGAGGTAGCGACAAAAACCGCTATTCTTTTTATAGTAATTAGCACATGATGGGTTAGTGCCCCAATTTATTAGCTGTAAGTCTGATATTGGTTCTATTTTTGTTATAGTTGTGCCATTGCTGTTTTGCAGTTTGTTTAGGTTATTTGTTCAAAATGTTAAAGTCCACACTCGATCGTTTCCAGTGAGCATGGTATTGACTCCGCCTGGGATTAATCCACAGAGGCTCCTAGCTGGGTCCATTCGCCTGCAATTTCGTTGCCGAAAATGTACCGGTGCTCTGGAACCCAATTAATGGACAAGTGGAGTGAACATAATATTGATAGTAGCCGTCTGGCGATCCGTGATTAAGGTTGATTTCTGTCCATAGCGGATACATGGAATAGCAGAGGCAGTATCTCCGCCCCTACTAAATCTACTCTTCATTCACGTCTAGAAAGTATACTCACCGAAAGTAAATTTCATTGCAAAAGGGTACTAGTTTTTGTACCCCGACAGTTTATATAGAAAAACTCAAGAGTAACTTTAGTCAAAGTATAAATTTAACTTAAGTTTGTTGGCTAATTCAGTGATCGCATTTGGACACCTCTAAGCAGTCCTTTGGTAATTCTTAAATACAAAATACTTGTATCCGATCTTATAAATCGGTAAATCGTCTTTACAAATTTGGCTATTTAATTGCTATCCCCTCTACTTCGGTGGGATACTTGAAGGTAAGCACCAAGTATTCACACAAACGCGGGACAAACAGCAAGGAAGTGAAAAAGGTCCAGTACTCTGAAAAAATTCAAAAGCTTTTTGGGCGCAATGGACGTGCTGTGTTCCCTTTCCAGACGGAGAGCCTGCTTCTACAAATTTCTGGGCAATCTAGAATCAAGTGTTCTATAATTTTCTGTATCATGTAGCAAGACCTGCAGTTTGTGCAAGGGACTACGCCAATGTAGGACTAGTGTTTTTTGAGCCTGCAGTGCCCAGTATGGAGCGCGACAAAAAGACGGTACTTGTTTCGAGTGAGGCGTTGTCTTCGATGCCCAAGCATAAGTGACAATAGGCCCTATGGTCATGGTATACAGTCATCTGATGATATCTGAATTGCAGTCCCAGGATCGACGGGCTAGGCGTTCTGCATACCATGAGTGCCGTAGTGGATATGTACAGTTTTAATTCCACATGCATATTCCACCCGTATATTGAGTCTAGTGTGAGGCCTAGCAATTGGACCTCTTTAGGCAACACCAACTCTCTGCCTCCAAGTGTTAGAGGCCTTAAGTCCGGAAGAGATATTCGCATTGTAAAAGAGATGACGGTTGTTTTTGACATCCAGTAAGATTCGAAAACTTACAGCGAGTACACTGATCAATTTATGGCTTTTTAGAATCCTCGCGACTACGGAGCGGCTAGCTTTACTGAGGACAAAGCGCTCACTGAATTTATTAGGCTCAATGCTGGGCCAAAAGGAGCGCAAGTAACAATGGTAGACTAGCACTGCCAAGCTGATTCTAAGCCCAGTTAAGTGACTTCTTAATTTTCCTATCTAATTGTGGTGTTTGATCATTGTATTCTGTTCGTTTTAACTCGTGAAACGACATTATTGTTTTTTTCCAACTATCCATGGTGATTACAAATCGTTTATTATATAATAATACTTTACAAAATTAAATAATGTCAATTTTCAATTTTAATTGAGATAATTAAAAAAAAAAGATATTACTTAGTAAATTATTGTAGACACTTCTAAGTACATGGAAATGTATGTACAAGCACCAATAGTATATAAGGTAGCATTATTGTAGCTAAATACCAAATAATTGGCGTAATGAAGATAATTTTAGAAAACCTAAAAAAAAAGTAGATCTATAAGACTGTACATACATACAAACATATATGAGTATTGAAAGTGCAAGAATTAGGTACGTCTGTAGGTTATGCTAAGAGAGAATTGAAACATTTTAGTAAAACTGATAAACGCTTTGGTATACCTGTCTCTTATACACATCTAGATGTGTATAAGAGACAGCTATAAGACTGTACATACATACAAACATATATGAGTATTGAAAGTGCAAGAATTAGGTACGTCTGTAGGTTATGCTAAGAGAGAATTGAAACATTTTAGTAAAACTGATAAACGCTTTGGTATACTATTAATGCTTTACAAGAATTGAGATTAGCGAATTAAGGATGACATAAACGGAAAATAACTTTGTAAAAAGAAAACAAATGCGAAGAAGAGCTATTTATAAGTCTAGAACAAAAACTAACA